GTGGTCGGACTTTGTTTTCTCCACCATTTCTGACGAATCATCGCGGAGCAGAGGATGGTTTGAAAAAGCATGTGACCAAATAAAGCTTCGGAAGTCTGTGACATTCAAGAGTGGAATCAATCTGCGATCAATACAATATCTAATCTGATATAATCTCATCTAAATTAATTTGTGCCAATGAGACCACAACTCGTGTCATGTATAGCTTGGTCAACGGATTCACATATCGATCAATAATATAAAATACACAAACATGTGATCATAATTAATAATTGACGTGGGTAGCTGAAAAAAAATATTTTGGGTGAGCTGTTATACCCTTATGTTGTGTTCGGGATCTCTGAGACCCCAGTTATAAACATGATTAAATGTCCTACTGACAGCCCTCAAAGTGACTGAATAATCCTTTTATGCATCAGGTGGGATCGTGAAGCGCCAGATTTTTCAAACCAGCTGTCCCAACCTTCCGATACTGCATGACGTTCGAAGCTTCAAATGTCATCAATCACATGGTGTTGTCATTTCGATACAAGCATCGGCACAGTGTGTGATACAATAGTGCTTTGAGAACTGCGTCAGAGCATCGGAGCTGTGGTATCAATTGTCCCATCACTAACAGGAACTAAACCAGAACAGAAGACAGGAAAACACAGAAACAAGGTCTATAACATGACAGGGTGCGACACCTACAAGATACTAAAGAATATATATCCTGTGGTGCACATTGCCTGTTTTAGGGTTAACTAATGTTAACAGTAAGTTTTGAACTTAAAATTAAGTTGAATCTAATACATTATTAAAATTTAAACTAAGATGAATAAATTCTATATAAATATTGATAGTTAATTTAAACAAATTAAACTTTAATGTGAAGTTTTCAATATTGTTCTGTTTGTGTGTGTTTCAAACACCTGATGTTTTGGATTAACCCTTTCATTGACACGCCCAAGAAGATCCTAGATGGCGCCGCTGTGTTTGGCTTTTGCGCCAGCTAAACAGGAGACTTCAAACAGCGAGTGATCCACCGCCGCTCAGGATGGCCTCACTCAACGTGTGGTCTGTGGTAAACAAGACCTTTATTTTATATGACTTTTTTTATCTCACGGGAACTGGATTTCATGTTCATGACAGAAACCTGGACCAAAGTGGGGGATTTTAGTCCCTTCTCTGAACTTGTTCCACAGAACTGTTCATTTTTTAGCTCTCCATGATCATCTAAACGCGGGGGAGGACTGGCAGCTGTTTTTAAAAATAGCTTTCATTGTCGCGCTATTCCTACAGATCCCTATAAGAGTTTTGAGGTTCAATTATTCTTAATGGACTTGGTAAATCCAGTACTGTGTGTAGTTGTCTATCGACCTCCACAGCCTAACAATGCTTTTTTGAATGAATTTGCAGAGTTTATTGGGGATGTTGCAGCAATGTATGAAATTATTTTATTATTGGTTGATTTTAACATTCATGTTTGTTGCCCTGGTAAACCGTTATCCAATGACTTTTGCAATCTTACGGACTCTTTCAGTTTCTCTCAATGGGCGCAAGGTCCGACGCATAATCAAGGTCATACCTTGGATCTGGTTTTCTCACATGGTCTTTCTATTATGAACTTGGAGATTAATGA